GATAAAGTTGGTGGAGCAGTGTTCCCAAGAACTGTCCCTCTGGTTGTTTTCCTTCATTTAAAATTTACTAAAAGATTGCTTTCCAATCCGACCTACCAGCCCAGCGTTCGTCTTTGCCATTCTGTTATCAAACCTAAGCAGTGCTTCACAGGGATTACATTTCTGAGTAGTTGTCCAACGTTTGGTATCTTTGGACCACTGAATAAGTGCATTTGAAACTCAAATGACACTGGTCACAGTTATTGACAGTACTGACAGGGTAAGATTTATTTAAATATCACTTAATAATAATCCTTGCATTTGATACAGCCCTTTTCAGGTCTTCTAGACGTCTCAAAGTGCTTCACAGAATAGACTGTAAAGTGAATTGACTGCATATTTGTGGGCGAAATGCGGCAGCCAATTGCACACAGCAGTGTCCCACAAGCAGTCGTGGATTAAAATGACCAATTTATCTTAGCAACTTAGCTGAATTGCTTTATGTTTAATTCATGAAACTGAGCAATGCATTTCCATTGAGGTGAGTAGCCCTTCAGTACCTTCACCCAAGTGACAAAAATGAATCCAGAGTGAGTGTCGACAGGTTTTGTGACCAACAACAAGTTAAACTTGTATAGTGCCCGTCATGTGGAAAGATGTCCCAGGGCACTGGACAATCAGGAGCCTTGGACCCAAACTGGGAGTTAGGATCAGGAGGGTTGGAGGGCAGGGAGGGTGGGGTGGAAGGGTGGCTGAAGGTCGAAGAGAAAGGACCATGAGGGATATCATAACCAAGCCAGCTATTGTCTTTAGATTTTCAGTATATACCAGCTTTCCAGTGGGATTCTCTGGTCGATAATCATGAGTGGGTATCTGCATATTTTACTCCTCCCCAAGGCCATTGTAAGAGGGGCTAATTACACTGTCTCACTTCTACCATGGATGAGATTAGTTAACTCAGCACAGTTCACAAAAAANCCCGAGGCCTTTCAGCTGGTATGGCTCAGAACTGCACATTACATGTTATAATAATAATAAACCTTGCATTTGATAGAGCGCCTCATCACTTTGTTGAGGCATCTTAAAGCGCTTCACAGAATATACTGTAAAATGAATTGACTGTATTTTGTGGACGAAACACGGCAGCCAATTGCGCATACAGTACTATACTGAGCATTGGGAGAAATATATTTTTTTCTAACACTGAGCAAACAATGGTGTAAAATTATCACTTCAAACTGAATACTTTGAACAGCACTCCTGAGAAGGGAGAAATTAGATTATTTCATCTCCACAGTTCACTGTCCTTCACTGAGTAACAAATTTGCATCTCTAGCGTTGGATTCGGATTCAAAACTCTTTCCCCCTCCCTAATCTTCTCAAACTCCATCGTAAAGGCTTGCCAACCCTATCTATTCCTGAATTTTTGTGTTGAAACAATTTGTGGTGTTGAATCAACTAAAAAAGAAATCACACTACGTACCATTTTACTCTGCTTTCAAACTACATAAACTTAAGTGTTTTATATGAAAATTGATATTGGGAAGGTAAAGGAAAGTGGGAAAACTCCCCTAGATGACTGACCTCTTGATCAGAAAAACAGGTCAGGTCAGAAAAACACAAAAACTGCAGAGATGTTCATTCTGTCACACCAATTTTTTCAGGGAGTATGGTACAATACTGCAACAATAATCAAAATGAGACCTCATTCATGGAGCTCATACTTTGGTTCTTTTGTTCTTGAGGCCACAATAGTGGAAGTTAAGCCATAAAGCAGTACAATAATCAGTCATGCCTGGACCAAAATGGCCTCCTTACTAACGGAAACAAAAACAGAAGTTGCTGGGAACACTTAGCAAGTCAGGGAGCATTTATGGAGAAAGGAAAGTGAGTCAACGTTTTGGGTCCACGTCCCTTCGTCAGAACTGGAGCATTTCTGTTTTTGTTTCAGATTTCGAGTAACAGCAGTATTTTTTGTTTTCTTTACTAATGGAGATCATTTCCAGATAAATGCACTAATGGAGAATTCTGGCTGACATTTCACAAGATGTTGAGTTGTCACTGCAGACAGGTTGTCACGATCAGCATAGAGCAAAGAGTTATATACAATTGGCGAACAAAAACATCTCTCTCCTGAGATACCATAAGAAGGAAATCAAAAGAAAGATGAAAGCTATATGATGGGAGAGATAAAACACCAGTTGATCAAAGCCCTAAAACACAGTGAATTCTAGGCCAAGGTACGTTCTGATAATACTTGCAAGTTGAGCAGTTGCTATAAATAGTGCCAAGTAAATCTCACTAAACATGTTGGAATTGTCAACCACTCCTCAACATAACCTAAAATAAATATTAGCGATCTTCTTCCACCAACTGCGCAGCATTGTAGAATGATAACAATAATAAATAATAATCCTTGCATTTGATATTGTACCTTATCACGTCATTGTCTCAAAGCTCTTCACGGGATGTGTTGTAAAGTGTTGTATTTTGTGGGAGAACTGCAGCAACTAATTGCACACAGCAGTATCCCACAAACAGTCGTGGATTTAGTGACCAATTTTTTTTGAGGGATTATTACCTCCGGAAAGGGATCAGCCAATCCACTAACCACCAGGTTCCTACTTGCTTAAGGAATCAAACCCAGGTCCTCTCACTTGCGAGGTGAGCATGCTAACCACTACGCTATGGGATCCATGATAAGTGTAAGATATGTGAACCAATGTTGGGTAAGCTATGTGCTGTGCCCCATTCCCTATGGTTGAGTTGCTGGAAGTGGAGAAACAAATAGCTTACCAGTCTTCAACAAGTTGTGTGTCTGGTCACCTTTGAAAGTATTAATACCAAATCCAAGTTGTGAGCCCCACACGCCTTCACTCCCATATAATAACCAATGACCCAAGCTCCAGGACAGAAAACTCCTCCATGCTTTAATCTCCAACTCCAGCTAACAAGAACTTATAGAAGCAGGGTATGTGTTTCCAATTTGAGAATAACCATGATCCATATTCCCATTGGGAATTTGCGGCATGGGGGTGGAGGAGAGAGAAGCAACATAATTGCCAGAGAAAACAGTCTTGGGTTAATAGGACAATGTCAAAGTCTGCTGACATGTAATCAACTATGGAGTCCTTTAGCTTAGTGGCTAGAGCCTTCGCCTCGCAAGTAAAAGGACCTCGTTTCCCAGCAGGTTGAAATGTTGGGTAAGTTTCCTTATTCCACACGGCTCTGTTCACCTAGCAGAAAGTAGGAACTCGGTTGTTAGTCGATTGGCGGATCACTTGTCTTGGGGTAATAACCCCTTCAAAGGTAAATAATTTTTTTAAAAAATAACAATTTGGTCACTCAATCCGTGATTGTTTGTGGGACACTCCTGTGTGAAATTGGCTGCCACCTTCCACTATCAAAATACTCAGTCAATTCACTTTACAGTATATTCTGTGAAGCACTTCGAATCATCTCAAAAATGTGGAAAGGCGCTATATCAAATGCAAGGATTATTAATATTTATTGTTATAACTAAAACTAAGGCAATGGTAACCTTCCCAATGCTTGCTCAGCTCAGGTTACCCTATCTTACCTTGAACAGTTAATAGGTAATTGGGAAGAATTGCATCCACAATGGCACCTCTACCTCTCAAAGTCTTATTGGTGAGAGAGGCCGGCTCTTGTCAGTTACAAGATTCACTCCAGTAATTTTTAAGATCTTGTGACAAATTTATAATCATGAATTGGCAAACTTTCTGGCATTCAATTCTTTTTAATGTTATCTAGAACTGAACACAAATATAATTAACAAGCAGGCAGCCCTGTGGAAATAATTTGTGTTCAAATAAAACAATGTTAATGCCAGCAATATTTATAGATACAAAAATAGCAATTGTTAAAAGATTATGCAATTTGAATTTGGGGCTGAAGAATAGACTATACTCAGAGATGATTATTTTTCCTTCCTTCTCACCAAACAAATGATTGGCAATTAAGTAGAATGCATCGATTAAATATTGTTTTTAATCAGTATTCAAATAAAAAAATATAATCTTTTTCAGGGCCAGTTGAGCCTGGCGAGGGCTGGCGTGACGAGGGTGCACAGGTTGATACTGGGGAGGATATGGCCAGTGGAGTTTTGAATTCAATTGGATTTTATGAGTGGTTGAGCTGGGGAGATCAGTGAGGAGGATATTGGAAAAATCAATGTGGGAGATGGCGAAAGAGTGTGAGGTACGGTCAGAGACGGATGAGGTTGCGGAGGTGGAGGAAAGCTGGGGATTGAATCGAATGCCAAGGTTGCGGACAGGTTCAGTGAGTCTGAGGGATATTCTGGGGAGGTTAGGGAGAGAAGATATTGACAAGAGCCAAGGAAAATGGCTTCCGTTTTGCCCACACTCAGTTGCAGAAAATTAGTGCTCATCCAGGCCTTGATGTCTGACAAGCAAGCGGACAAAAGACAAAACATGATGGACCTGGGGTCATGCAATTTTGGGCAGTTTATCAGAAACAAGATAATTGTATTGATTGGGTGGATAACGGTTCACTCGTTCATTTTTAGAAAAAAGTGTTAGTACAGTATGAGAGTGGGCTGATAGATAGTTTAATGTAAAAACAAAGAATATTTGTGAACTAAGCAAGTATCATATTATGCTAGCTTGAATTGAAGTGTTGAGGCACACATACATTTCTGTCACCATTTCTACATTACATTTGATTAAAATATCAGAAAAGAATGCTTGAAAAATTGTGTTACATTCAGTGAATAATAAATGTTCTTTAAAACAAAAAGTACTTGAACTGTGGAAACAAATTTGTTGATGTGTGTCTAGCTGTGTTAGTTTATGTAAAATAAATGTATTTTGTGCAGTCTTTCAGCTTCTTTAATTTATGGGTATGTTTATTGACTCAGGAGAAAATGTATTTTGTGCTTTTCTTCGGGGGGGACAAAGAAAAGCCATAAAAATAAAATTCTGCACAACATGTATTCTGTAATTTTACATTTGAAAACACAAATTGAAAAAGAAACTCACCAAACAAATTACTAGAATGCCGCACTTTGGATATGGGCTTCAGTTCATTTGATCCCCACGCATAACGTTTGTAGTTTTCCCAGGCGTATTTCATCATCTATAAAACATAGAACACTTGGCAATTTTAGATCCAAAGAATTTTTTTTAATATAAAAAGCACATTTTTGCAATCTTCTATCAAAAATAAAAATGCAGACTTTGGTATTTAAAATAAATTCAGCTTAGCAATCAAAAAGGGGTCAGCCTAGCTCAGTTGGAAGCTAACACTCTTGCTTCAATGTCAGAAGGTTGTGGGACTTTAAACTCGCATAGCACTGGATTAGCTGACTGACACTTCACGACAGGGATGGGAGACCCCTGCACTGTGAGGTGCCATCCTTTGGATGACATGTCAAACCGAGGTCCAGTCCATCTGTTCAGGTGGAAGTGAAAGACGCAAGGCAATGCTCTAAAAGTGCAAGGTGTTTCTCCCAGTTTCCTGACCAACATTCCCCCAAATACAACAACAACAAGTGCAAGGTGTTTCTCCCAGTATCCTGACCAACATTCCCCCAAATAAAATTGGTTATTCGCTTCAAGGCTGTTTGTGGGACATTGCTGTGTGCATATTGGCTGCCGTGTTCAACTATTAAAATATACAATCACTGCATTTTACAGCATATCCTGTGAAGTTCTTTGAGGCATTTTCCTGATGTGAAAGGCACCATATAAATGCAATAATTATCTATTTAATTTAAATTAATCAATTTCATTGCACGAGAATATTTTCACTAGTCAGTCAGTCAGTATTCATTAATTGTCATTACTCTCAGACACAATGCAAATTAATTTTTAATTTGTGTTTTATTAAGAGACAAAAAGGATACAAGTCATTTTTCAAAAGAGTTTTAAAAGTTTTCTTTTGTTGGTTTAACACTGAACGTTTCAGCATTTAAAAGGGATTTAAATACTTCAGAAATAGTAATAAAAGGGAACTAGGATTGAATGGTAAAATGGGGAAAGAGGAGGTAAGGACAAACATGATGGACAAAAAGACTTTTTACTAGGATACTATGAAATTATTTCAAAATAATTTTAAAATAAATCTTAAGACAAAAAAGTCTAGAGCATGATTAAGTGCTTTTAAAGGTTAACAGTTTAAATTTACCCTAATTTGTTTTTGTCCCCATGTTCTGTGTGTAACCGAATATCTTTTCATGTTCCATGCCTTAGGTTATTTTATTGGAGTCATGTTACTGAGAGAATTTTGTGTAAATGCAGGTCATTGAGAACGAAGATAATGGACAGATCTTAATAATTCACTCTTTTGCACTTAGTCAACAGCCGTTTTGTTACATTAAACACAAGCTTCAGTATATGTTTCTTTATGTTCAACTGTAACAGTGTAAATAAAAACATTTAACCCAGATCTGGGTTTTTGAGAGAGATTATGTTTTAGAGGACGAGACTTAAATGAATTTGAAATTCAAAACCACTTAAGAGTTTAATAGTAATGGTAATGCATCTATTCTGAAAGCTTAAAAACAAATTTAAAAAGGCACAAAAGAAAACTACTGCAATGATGAAGAAATCACTTTGTTAACCGAGTATCATGTTTAAATAGCAAGTTATCCATATCACAGGATTGTACACAAACACATTGGTGTACCAGCCACGTAGCAATAGCGAATTGTTTGGCACACCATGGCTAACTCAATTCTTTGACTTGATTGGCCAAATAAATTAATTCATCTGTTCTGGAAAAATGTAATACAATTTACATTTATACTATGCCTTTAGTGTCCAGAGGATGTCTCAAAACGCTTCACAGCGATGGGCACCTTGTTTTGAGATGTGCCTTGAAAGAGGGGGGACAAGGAGTTAGTTGGGGGGTGTTCTGGGATCCAGTCTCAGAAAGCGGAGACAGATAGACTAAAAACTAATGAGGGGGGAGGGGGGGAATATGAAACAGGTTAAGTGTTCACTGAGTGAAACAAGTGTGATATTTAAGAGAAAGTCACCCATAAACTTTGGTTAAGTATCATATCGCCATGTACCTCTCTTGTGGTAATGGAGACGTTTCTATTTTAGTTAGCACTCCTTGTATTGAGTTTCCTCCAACATCAATCTAGCCTTGTTTGTTCTGTACCTTTTTTTGCCCCAAAAACTAATCGTCCATTCAAGACTAGGAGCATAAACCAAAAATGTTGTGCCAATCCTTCATCATCAGGTTCTATAAGACGGTAAAACAAGGTTCCATCTGCCTGTTCAGGTGGACATTAAAGAACCCATGGCACAACTCAAAAAGAGAAAGGAGTTCCTCCCAGTGTACAACAATTCCCCAAATAAAATAGTCACTAATTTCACAGCTGTTTGTGGGGAACTGCTGTACGCAAATTGGCTGCTGCGTTCACCTTCAAAATACAGTCACTGCACTTTACACTGAGAAGCATTTGCAACGTGAAAGCGCAATATCAAATGCAATGATTATTACATTAAAACATTAAAACATTCAGCGCAGGATGCCTTAGAATAACAACTGATTTTTTTGGGTCAGCCGGGTGTCTGACACATGTGGAAACCCATCACCAGGTTTAAGAGTATCCAAATCAAACTGAGATTTCCATACACATGGAAATTCCAGAGGGAGTGACACATCCTGCTTACCTAATTTAGGAAATTGTTAGGCGCAGGTTGGCAAAAGCTAAGACTTGATGATCCCAATGTGTTGGGGTACTGCTGGAATCTAACCAGCAAAATTAAAAGCTCACAGCTTGCCATCTAAGCGCTCCGAGAAGCTGCCTCGCATGAAGGGTGCTATAAAATGAAAGCTGTTGTTGTTATTGTTGATAGCACTGTTTGGCAATCTTTCTCGCTGCTGTCCAGCTAGGATCACCTAGTCCCATTAGGGCTTTGGCTTGCAGGGTTAACAGGAGCTAAATGGGAGGATTCCCTGCCCCCCCCAAGTCCTGCCAATGAGCCAGGCTGGCTGTGCGGTCATCAGCAGTGCCCTGTAGCACTGTGGACCTGCCTGGCTGCAGGAATTGGACTACCGAGACTGCCACAGACGTCTGGCTTGGTTACGACCTTCTATTGCCAAACATGTCACGTTGGAGACCCTGCATACCTAACCCGCACCCCCGCACATCCCCCCCCCCACACACACACAAGGAGGTAACAACTGAAATGAAAAGCATATACTATCATTTATACCAAACCACTTTTATAATATTTGATCATCTTTAACAACATTGCACATGATAAAACGTTTCCAACACAGTATTGTTTACAGTAGATTGCTTTCATTTCATTAGGCCTTGTAAAATGTTGCCACAGCATGTAAATAATTTATCAATTTCCAATGACCAAATGGCAAGTTTGTGGATTTGAATAATAATAATAATCCTTGCATTTAATATACCGCCTTATCACATTTTCTAGACGTCTCAAGATATTGAAGCTCGATAAAATAATTAAACTTCAAAAAGAATCAAAATTACACAATACCTAGAACACAAACAAAAATGATAACTGGTGGTAGGGAGTGGGAAGCCATTAAGGTGTGAATATGCAAAGCAGATACAAAGTTTGTATTTGTCAGAGCATGCTAAAGAGTATCCAAACCAGATAAGCTGTTCACATTTGCACAGAAATTTCTTTATCCAAAATGGAGTGCCTACTCTCTCCCTGGAGGAACACACTCTGCTTAACTAATCCTAGAAGGTAATATAATAATAATCCTTGCATTTGATACAGAGGCTTATCATGTCTTTGGGATGTCTCAAAGCGCTTCACAGAATATACTGTAAAGTGAATTGACTGTATATTTTGTTGGCTGAACACGGCAGCCAATTGCACACAGCAATGTGCCACGAACAATCGTGGATTGAGTGACCAAATTATTATTATTTTTTAAAGAGATTATTAACCCCGGGAAACCAATCCACCAATCAATTAACAACTGGGTTTCTATTTACTGCTAGGTGAACCGAGGCGTGCGGAATAAGGAAACTTGTGCACTGTTTTGCCCTGCCCAGGAATCGAATCCAAGAGCTCTCGCTTGTGAGGCGAGTGCTCTAACCACTAAGCTACAGGACTCCATGTTTAATGGAGTAGGGCGTAATCTGTTTCCAGGACACTGTGTTCAGCCTTTTAAAAACTACATATATATCCAGTAAAGAATATTAGGAAGTCTGCAAAGGGCTGCACATTCAAAATATAAACAGAACAATCTGATGAATCTGTCTTTAATACATCTGTTGTGCAACGAAAGGGTGAAGAATCCAAGGTTTTGTTGACTCATCGGATTAGGAGTCAATTTTGAATCCAGCAAACCCATTCATCCAACAATTTATCTCCGGACAAAATTCAATCACCTTGACCCATAAGATACAACATCAGTCAATTAGCAATTCTGTTTAGCTAAAAACACTCTGGTGGATGGAGCCTAATGGTCATCAATCCACTTGGCAAGATCGGTATTATGGCTAAAAGCTTAGGCTGGACAGGATCCAACAGTCTAAGTAATAAATATCGTATTGCTTTTTTNCCTCACAACCATAAAACTTAGTCACCTTACAATAATGAATAGTTAAATGCATCCTGTTACACACATCTCATCCTATTATACACATCACTACTGATTGATCGATCACTCTGAATCATTTAAATCTGTCGCCCTGCGTTTCTAATGCCCAATTTATAATACAGGTTTACTGCTAATGGCATTATTGCTCCCGGGCGTGATCAGTGGCAAGATTCCAATGAAAACTACGAGTCTTTAAAGGGTAACTTTCACACAGTTAAGACACTTAACAAATATGATAGGGAGCAAAATCCTTAAATTTTACAGGAGAAGCTTTCCTTTAGTTGCTCAAATCCTTACGTAGCAGATACTTCATTGGTCTGTTTATAAAGCTCCACCTTATGTTCGGGATCATTTTTCAAACAATTCTGCTGACAGAAATTGTCTTATGCCTAGATCAGGGCCTGTTTAATCCAAGGTAAGGAGAGAAGTCCAGTGGAGTGAAACCAAAAATAGGAGCCGAATCACCTTTCTTTTCTCTCTCCTTCCCTCCAGCCCCATTCATTTAGCTCCTGACACACAAGGAAACCCAA